AGGTTATATCAATAATCAGGAATACCGCCAATGCTTTAGTTGTGCCCACCCAGTCAAAGTTCATGTGGCATCATGACTTTTTCCACATTTCACATGCCCGTAAATTGTACGTTGGTCTAGCAAGATTAACTTGCCACACGCATCTGACTTTCATAATAATCGTTTTTTATAGTAATGTTCACTTTGAGGCTGAACGATTTGAGGACGGGAAAAGAAGAGGTATCTTAAAAATCAAAATAACATAAACGAGGGAATTTATGTGCCAACAGGCGTGCATGCATACACACAGGCAGACATACACACGCAAGCGCATACATACTATGATGCAAGAATCCTTCTCAACGCTGTGTTTGGAGCAGTAATCCAACGAGGTACTCACCTTCTCAGGAAGCTGGACAAGTTGGAATTAAGGAACAGGACGGAATTAGCGTAAATAAAGACGACAATCTCTTCTACTTTCTGCCAGCCACTGCTGCTTGGTAGGATGAAAAAATAGCCTGGATGTGGGATCATGACGTTGAGGCAAATATTTACTGATACCTTTTGGCATTGAAGTGACGCTGGAAAAAGATGTCACTACTCTACTGGACAGGACAAGAGGACAAATAGGAATATTAACTGTACCATGCAATTCCATGTCAGTCTTTCTAAACTCGTCTCTTTTGGCGCAAACAGCGTCAGGACGGCATTCCTTTTTAACGGCAAATGCGAGACCAACTGTGCATGGGTGTCGGTGGGGTTTTTATCCCTTCATGCTAGTCAACCTCATGTGCACACGCTGCCGGCTAAATCCGTCCTCAGCAAATGCGACTGGGTATTGCAGGCAAGTATGCATCACTTTTCTTCTTAACCTAACGCGAAAACACTTTCGGGGTCATAGAGGCTCTCGAGAAGGCCTTCAGTTCTGCCGGTCGCCAAGTATTTCGGATGAACAGTTTTCACACACTAGGCTAACTATGCGCATAGAATGACGCTAACCTCTCCAATCTGCTTGCCAATCAGCGTTTAAGACACTTTGGTAGCAACATGCTACTTATAGCAGTCTAGTAGTATGTCAGTTAACTCGCCTGATATAAAAGAGTGAATATCTGACTATTGTGAATTATTTAATGTAAATTCTTTACTCCATTAGATATTTATTTTGTATAAGTATTAAGTAGTCATCTAATATTTAATACAGTAAATTATGTGACCTTAAGTATACCTTGAGTGTATCAGCCTATTTTATACACGACTGAGTCAGTTTTCCCAACTTGGTCAGGCGATGGGAAGATCTTGTAGAATCCTGCATCATCTGCCGAAAAAGGTGAGATCATATCCAACATCGAATTGTTGATTTACCATGTTTCCAGATGTTTCGCACAATTACAATTGGCATAGTTGACCATTTTTCTGGCTAACTCTCTTCTCCTTTTGGCACGGGCCCCTAGTGCTGAATCCTCTTCCCTCAATCCCACTTCATAGGGCCACTTCAATAAGAACTGTGTTCAGATGATGGAGCAGTGATGGTTGAATTTTATTACAATTTTATGATTAGTCCTCAAGGTTCCAGTGAAATTCGCATAGCCTCATTCATCTCCTTGTGAGTCAGTCCGTTGTCACCTCGTGCGGTTTAGGCTGAGTGCAGCCTTTATTCGAAACATTCTGTACACGAATATTTCTATACATATTTTTGTATTAAAAACTATCTACTAAGAAAAAATAGGTTTTGATGAATCTCCTGATATAATGTTGTTGTGGAAACTTTCATTTCGTATGAAAGCGTGTCTGACAAAAAAAATTGGACGTCGATTTCACCAGAAGACGACGGCTGATTCCCGTTGTACTACCACCGTTCGGCAGTCCACAAAGCATCCTCCCTCCTTTCTTCATCATACACTTTCATACAAAATGAAGTTTTCACAACAATGTCTCAATATCTTCCGTTGAGTGTGCAGCCATTCAAGTAGGTTTTCGAGACTATCAGTTGAGCTTGTACAAGAGTTCCAGTGACCCTAGTTCACATAAGGTTAGGAAGTTGATTTTCACTTTCAATGTGAGGCCTATTCATATGATTTTGGGAGTTTTCAACCATCCGTCCTCCAACATCTTGAGCTACCCAGAGTGACTTTAACTCTTAGTGAGACGTAATTATCTTCACCGCCGGTTTCGCATCTCATCTGGAGGGTTTCTTAGGCCTAATTAGTGCCTAATTAAGAAAGTTACTTGTCCAAATTTCTGTCAGCTCTTCCGTCCAGTCCTCGAAAGTATGCCGAAGCGACTTCCAAAAGTGTGATTCTCACTCATGTTGCTACGGAAGGCAAGATATGAGAGCGAGGGACAACAATGAATGGGAGGATGAGTAGGAATGAGTAATTCTTGATTGAAAGATTGCAGGAAAGAGAGCCTGTCAGCCACCGTCCAAAAGAAGCTGCTCAACTTGCCTAACCTTATTCACACTCATTCAACATGTTTGATTATGCTCATTAACGAGATTCCACAATTCCCACTATGCTTTCCCTTGGGTCATTGAAATTAAGTGATCCCAGGCCAATTGGTTCTGACCGGCGGTTTCGTAACCCGACGCTCATGGGTACAAGCTGACACGTCATCCATTCAACCAAAGTTACTTGCGGATTAACGCAAGTTCTGTTGTGCTATTTCCTTGGGTCATTAAGCCGTGATGACTCGGGGTTGATGTTAGGCTGTTTTTTTGTAATCACTCTGACTTATGACCGAGATTGCATACAGATTTTTACACACACACACACATACAATGGAGTATGTAAAAACTAACCCAACCGTTCAGTATGATTATGTACAGCATGTAGAACAGATTAGGTCACTCTCCATGACTTTGTGCCAACTTGGAGCTTTTGGAAGTATGAGCTTCAGCTTTGAGGATGTCCATCCAATGATGAAAGTAACTAGAGAAGATGTTTCGTGAGCTTCGCATTAAATTGTTGGGGCGACTTTCGTTGGTCGATCTCACCAGATGAGGACGGATGAATCTTGTTGTACTGCAGCCGTTTAGCTTTTCATACGAC